GCAGCAGACTAACGGAGATGGATGTAAGAATCTTCCGTCGTCGTTGTCCTGGCAAGAGGCAGGTACAGGCCGAACATGATGGCACTCCGGGCTTGGGTATCCCAGGCCGACATCGTGTATTCCTTCCTCGTCTCCCAAACACTGAAGAAAAAGCGTCACTGTCTTCCTGTCCAGCTGGCGAACCGTGACGCTCCAAGGGCCAATCAATCTCCTTGCGGCAGGAAAGCCCCACGCCGAACTCCGTCTATTAAGCTCAGACTGCCCTCCTTGTTGGGTCCCATGTCCCACGTCGCAGCCTGCCTGTTTTGCCCAACCAACACTGTTGTACGCAGGGCCACGGGACCTGGTCTGCTTGGGATGCGCGGGAGGGAGCGTCCACGTCGTCGATGATCAAACAGAGCACACGTCGTCACCGCAACTCGGCAACTCTGGAGCTTTTCTGTAGGCAGTACCCGACTCCCGCGCCAGTGCTTCCCGCCCCCAGACGTACATTGGACGGTCGAACTACCTGTCCAACAACTCCCTGTTTCCCCCGAAAGACAGGCTTACACGGAACACTTCAAACAGCCGACCAAGCTGACTTACAATCCGAAGTCCTCGCAGCCCCCTGTCTCCCCGCGCATGAAAAGCAACCATCGCATTGCAATTAATCCGTGCCGCCTATGACGCTCTCAAGGTCACCTCCGGACGGCAATGAAGTCTGTGAGGTTGTCTGCGAGCTTCAGAGAGATGGATGCGCCTCATGGATGTTGGCTTGTTCGTGACGTCGCGGGCCCCGGCCATGACGAGAGTCAGTTCTCTCAATGCCAACACGAGGACCCTCACCGCCGGATGGACAATCGCATTGTCCGTTGCGCCGGCCCTTCGAGGTGTCACTCGGCCACGGCATTCTATATCGATTGCCGCCCGTATCATTGCTGCATTACCACAATCCGACAACATCGTGGTCCGCTGACCACCGGAAGAACGGCGCAAGACGACCCTCGACAAGCTGACCTTTCCTGCCTTTGGCCGCGCATGTCTCAGTCTCGAACAGTTAGCATCCTGCAAGTCGTTGCCAGTAGTCCACGGGCGTCACCGGCCCTTTTCGCTTCCGTCGCATTTCGGCCACTCACGGACGCTGCTGTCAATAGCTCCCAAGCATCGAGATGCAATCGGGGACCGCCAGTCCAGATCGGACCTACGCCGAACTCATGTCCGCCGCCGACGGAGACTTCAGCTCCAGCTTCAGCACTACACTACAGTCCGGATCTTGGCAGGCGTCAAGGCTAGCTGCTGCGATATGTCTCGCTGTCGAGCGGGACCTGCAGACACATCATGTGCACTAACTTAGTGTAATGTACCGGCTGCAGAACCCTGCATCTCTCTGTGGTGTTTTGCAGGCTGGATCCAGAAAGATGTCCACTCATATCGTCACGTTGCCAGCATACGCACCGCATAGCTTCGCATTAGGGCCCCTCTAGTGTCATCTCAGCTGGAGTGTCACGGCAACGGTTTATTGACGTCAAATTGGCTCATGCTGAGGGTATTGATATCAAGGCCAAGCACATTGCCCACTCACCAATGTCGCTACGCTGCCAAGGGCTCTAAGTCAGTGCAGATGGCAGCAGTGATGCCTTGACAAGACCAAGTGAAGTGATGCCAAACCACTTCAGATACCACAACCATCGCGCAGCGTCCGCGATGCACCCCCTTCTGGAGCGCTCTCCGTTTGCGTCTCAAACGACAAAGGCACGGACGAGAGTCGCTTGGCTGGACATTAGTTGACATATTGCTGAAAACGATTTCGACCTTCCCCAGAACCCACAACCGCCAAGTGCTCCTTACCGGATTCGTCGACTCGATGTGTCCGCGATGCACACGCCCGTCTGGTTCATGCGATCTACCACACGTTCGAGCCATCGTGATCGCAAATTACCCAGACCACCGCCGCCGCCGACTGTCACGAAGAGTCGGCGTTACCTCAAACACACCTGAGCTGCCCAATCATGCTCGACTCACATCTCCGACAACTTCATCTCGACCTCGTCTACCTGGTCTCAGAGCTTAACTCTAAATCTCAGACAGCACAACGCTCGTTATCGGTGTTAGGCCATAGTGGCACTCGGCCGGGGCTGGTCAGGTCCGCGCTCCGTTCCGACCTGGACTGTTTCTTTGCCAAATGCTTATTGTCTCTCTGGTTACGGCCGACTCGATCTTCGTCTCGACTTGACTCGGAGGCTTTCTCTTTGTCTTTTTTGACGATTCCTTAAAGGGGAAGACAAAGCCGACGACGGGCACGCACGAATGCCTCTGTGCTCCTTGCGCATTTTGTCTTTGACGTGACTCGGCTTCATTCTCTCCACGTCGCAGAAGACCATTCATGTCACGTCTCCAGTTCGTCCCTATTGCTACTTCTACAGCTTAAGCTGTGCCTATTGCTGTCCCGCCGAACCGGTCCCCGATCGCCCGAGGTCCCTGGATTGATTGGATCCCCAGACTCTCCCTGTCAGGGCAAGACGAACGGCCAGGAACATTCGGGGGCCGTCGGGCGCCGGTCACTCATTGGCTGTCGCGTCGCTCACCTGAGAAACGACACACATCAGGGTCCAATCCTTAGGAACGAACCGTCACTAGCGGTCAATCTCACGGACTCCCCTGAATCAGGCTGTTATGAGACATGAAAAATTGACGATACTTTTGTGAAGTAGGACGATAGCATGTCTCAAGAAAAGAAGCAATGCCGGCGTGTCACAGTCCTACGACCGATAGAACAGTAAACATGCAAAATTTCCCGGGTTTCACACCTCGGCCAATCATGTTACGATGTGATGTGAGCACCGTGAAACCATCATGTTGGCTTGGTGCTATTCATGTACAACGATTGCAAAGTCGTTCGTCGTATCAACGCCGCAAAGTAGTGGGTGATTTTCATCACGCGGGTCTAATGGTTTCCCCTCGCTAGATGATACTCTGCCATCTATAATTTGGCATCTTCAGCGGGCTGCCTGCGGCTGCGATTCTGTGTCATTACTCACTCGACCCGGCATCAACGTCCAGACGATATGGAACATGCGAAAAGAACGAGACCCGCTTCGCTTCGCAGATTGACGGCGTCGATCACTTTTCACTAGAACCTCGCGAATCACCGCTCAATGCCCCCGTCGTCCCGTCCCCCCCTCCCCGTTCTCCCCGATTACCCGAACTGTTCTGATAGACCCACAATCCCAAATATCCGTATTTCCATTTCGAGGTGGATGGAGAGGGACCTGGGACCCTTCGTTGCTCTGTGTTTCCCCTGCCGAGCTGAGAGAGGGAACAAGTAAAAGAGCACGGGAACCGCTGCGGTCATGACGCCCAGTTGCAAACACTTTGCGCGCAGATCACACAAATCCTCGGGTGCCTTCTCTGCCGTTTCGTAGCACGGCCGCGCAAACCCAAAGAACGGTCCCCCATTGTGCGGTGCAGCTGCAGCGAATGCACTCCTGACATGTTTGCCTCCCGCTCGCGCGCGCGCGCAGCCTAACGCATCATGTCATGTTCGCGCAGCCTAAAACACTCGCACAAACAATGAAGCCACCAGCAAACACGCCAGAAAAAACCCAACTGAGTGGTGCTAAGGCTGAGCAGCAGAAACGTGGGCTGTCGTGGTGTTCTTTCCAACACTAATTTGACCCTAAAGCACGCAGGGCACCGCGGGCAGCGGATACACGCAACAAAAAGTCAGAATCAGAAACGGTCCAGGCAGGAGAATGGATCGTCGGATCATCTTCTTTCCAGGAACGGTGGCGACCTGGACCTGCGCAAGCTTGCAGCGGGATGAGCACGGAATGGCTAAACTTGCAGCGGGACTGCAACAGAAGAGGCCTCACTGGCGAAAACGCCCCAAACAATGCATTCCCTTTCCTAACGCTCGACTTTGGCTGCCATTGGATATGTCAAATCAAAGTCGGGAGTGGCGATGACAGGTTCCAGACAGATGCCTAAGATGCCTGGATGCCCCAAGCGTTCGGACGGCCGAGCCTCGAGGGGGACCACCCTTCGGAAGTTACAAGTCCCATCTCCGAACGTCAACCGCGCCCAGTCTTCGCCTCCTATTATGCTGTTCCGTTGCCGGAGCCGTACGCAGCGTGACGTCCGTGGCTCAGGGGTGACATACATGGCGCTCTCTCATGAAAGAGATCCGTTCACTATTTGAACAATTGCATGTAGAGTATTTGACAACCACATGGGAAGGGATCACGAAGTATATCTGTTGCCAAGCTTTCTCCTATAATAAGCATGGTGAGAGTGACCGCATGATGTGATTGCAGGAATTATTATCGTCCATTAGGTGTGTGTGATGTGGTAAGCTGGTGTGGGAGTTGATGACCTCCCTCTCGTGATTGATCCTCCCAACCTCCTAAGACTAGTTTGTTCATGGCCACGTTCCGCAAAAGCCGATGCGATTGCCCCTCCTCCATCCTTCGCTGCCCGACATCTCAAAGGATGCGGGCCGCGACGGGAATCGCATATGCTGCATAATGGCGTGGAGAAGAGAGAACCCTCTCCATCTCCCCTCCTCCTCCTGGCTGTGTCGCATACAGGCCAACTTTTTCTTTCCCCTTCCATCTCTTCTCTCGTGGTCACAGTAATCGAATCAAAACAAGAAAACATTGCTCCCAACATATTGTGTGTGTGTCACATGAAAACGCCCATTCCCATGCTTTCCCTATTGTGTCTTGCTTGTGAAAAGTTGTGTTTGTTTTTTGCGCCCCTAACCTGATGGTATCCCTTCTCTCTCGTCGGATGCAAATGTTTCCCGTGCCCTTTTCGAATTCCGAATGATCCAAACTAGTCTCGACTTGTGTCAAAATAAAGCGGGAGGGCGGGCGCAGGGTTTACAGAAGAATCGAAGAAAAGGGGTGTTGTTGTACGGTAAATTATATGTTGTTTCGTCGTCGAATAACGTGGTTTCGGATCGATTTCGGAGTCTATCGCCGATCACCTCCCTCGGCCGATTCGGGGATTGGCTGCGCTTCTCATTCGGACTTGGTCTCCACCGCCTTGCTGTTGCTCGCTGCCACTTGCTGTACGCGGTTTTTCCTGTCGCCCTTGTACCTCGTGTCCAAGATGCGGTCCCAGAAGATGAAGAAGGGCTGCGAGAAGTTGGTCTTGATGCCCCATGTCTGGTGGTGGATGTCGTGGTAGGCGGCATTGTTGCTCGAGATGTGCTGCAGGGGATCCCAGGGCAGGGAGTAGCCGCAGTGGTCGTCAACGGTCTTGATGGTCGAGAAGCAGAAGAAGAGGAGACCCTGGCGGGCGGTCATGCCCGTAAGAAGGAAGCCAATACCAGCGCCGAGGGTGTCGAGGAGGAAGCCCTCGAAGGGGTGGTTGTACAGAGCACCGTAGGCGTAAGGAACGTAGAGGCGGTGGTGTCGCGAATGGAAGGTAGCTAAAGGAGCACTCCGTCAGTCTTTTGAAGCTCTTCCGGAGATCCCGGAGCGCAAAAGTTGTTTGCGCCGAGGGGTGAAACTTACTGTACATCCACTTGTTGACGTGCATCAAACGGTGGAGGAAGTACTGCCATGTGTCGAGGACCGAGACAGCGGCGAACAGCTGCATACCGGGGATGACCAGCCAGTAGATGGCCTTAGCGACAAAGAGCTCCCAAGCGGCGAAGGCGGGGACGACGGAGTGCGATCCGTCAAGCAGCTCGGTGGTGAGGAACGGGTAGTGACCTCCAGCGAGGGCGCCGGCGATGAACGGGTGGCCCGAGGCAGAAATGTTCTTGGAAATCGAGGCGGCGTTGAGACCGAGCAGGCCGAGGACGGTGGGCAGGGCGCGCTGGGCGAGGCGGACGCGGGTCGCCCAGACGGCGACGTCGTACTCTTCGCGGCCAACGGTCTGCTCGTCGTCAATGACCTCGAGGAAGACGGACATGGCGACCTGGATCAGCTGCTGGATCAGGACATCGCGGGCGACCTCATAGCGCGAGACGTGGTTGCGCTTGGTGATCTCCTCGGGGGTGTGAAGGCGGTACTGGGGCCAGACATCGTATGTGTCAATGAGGTGGAAGAACATTGACAAGCACCAGTAGACGACGATCGGGCCGAAGACGTTGAGGTAGCTGTCCGGAATGCCAGGAATGAGCTCCGGCTTGGGCCTCAATGTGTAGGCCGGAAGGGGCGGAAGGTCGGCGGCCGCCGACGTGAAGTTGAGGGCCATCGTGGGAGGAACCGTTTCGTTCACCATGGCCGGTGCGATTGTCGTCGTGGGATTGGGCGATTGCGATCGGTATGGTATCGGGTGGTGGTGTAAGGGGAGAGAGGTAGGTTGTGAGGCGAATGGATTCGGTCGGAGGGCGCGGTAATGAAGGAGCGAGGTGAGGTTAAGAAGGAAGGGCGGGGGGCGAAGCACGTTCGCAGGCCAAAGGAGCGGACGGGTTGGATATGTACGGATATGAAATGCCAATCCTTGGGTGCAAATGCAGACAGGGCTGAGACGAGCAGTCGACTGGGCCTGTGGCGAGTTGTTGGTCGAGGTCTCACTAGCTTTGACTAGCTTGGTCCTTGTCTGCAATGCAAAAAAATGATAGCGCTTGACTTTAGGTATGTAAGTACACAGTGAGAGAGAGGTGGGAGCAGCGCAGAAAACAACAGCAGCAGGTATTAGAGGTACGGTCTTATTCACTGGGCTGGCCGCTCGGTGCTTTAAAAGATGATAGGCAACGGTCTTAGCGGCGACGGCGGAAGAGCGGGCGGGCAATTTTTTCCCTTTCTCGGAGGCCGGGCTCTTCTCGAGGCGCTGGCCCTGCGGTGGTGCCGTGCTGGCCCATCACCCACTCCAAGAATGATGCGCTTTATCAATCTCGCTTGTGAAAAGGCGCGGGCCTCTCGCCTTTCGACTGTCTCCCGGTTTTGCCACGGATCGAACCACAAATGCCGTCGCGTTCTAAGCTTGGTCACTTGGGGGACAAGATCAGCCGAAGCCCTTTTAGACTCTGTGAGCAGGCACCGATTGCCATTCCATTTATGCGTGCACTCGTAACTGGGTTCAACAATTGCGCGCTCCCTCGCTCCCTCCATTGCAAGTCTCGCCGCGTGTTGGCACTGACAGCCGACAGTACGCTGCGATGACGAACGCCTGCCACTACAACCACGAGCTGGCTCCTCGCGTAATTCGCGGCGGCCTTGTCATGTTGTCATAACTTTAACACCCTGCGCGGCTTGCTACGCTGCCGTGTCAGGCCACCGGGCTCTCCCCTGTCACCACCGTGGATACGCGGACAACTCGGTGGCTTAAGTAAGCCCGGCTCGCCGTGATCCACGAAGCTGACTGGTCGAGCCGTGTTGACATGAAGGGGTGATGCTTAGTAAGTCCAGAGCCCAATCTCATCGTGATGATGCGCCCACTCGCTGCTGTCAACAAAATGTCTTCTCGAGGATGCCCCTTTCCGTGCCATGCGTCAATAACATCCGCATATCTGTCGAATGAATCCAGACAGGACATGGCTTGATCATGACGGGTGCTGGACTTGATGACTTGTCCAAAGTGAGGCGTTGGTCCCATCATAGCTCCGCCCAACGTGCTATTCTAGAAAAGGGTCATTCTCACAAGGGTCAGACCCAAGACCAGACGATGCTCCATGTCGGAGAGAGGTTCATGTGACACGCCAGAGACTGGCAGTTGAAAGATCGGGCTGGAACTCACCGCTGTGGCACCCTGCTGGGCGCAATTGAGGCTATCCCAGCTTCGAACGTGGATGTGGTGGATATCGCCCTGGAGCCTTCAGCGGCTGCGGCGCCGTCGCCTCAACTTCATCGGCTGGCTTAGCTAAGACACACTCACCCAGCTGCACCTTGCTACATTGGCAACAGACGAGGCAGTTGACCAAGAGGCTGTTCTCAAGTGTTGGTATCATCAAGCCGTACAGGTCAGGGGTTCCTATGTACAAGAATCCAGGTTGGTGCGATCCATTCACAATGGTAAACACGATGCAAAAACAAAGTACCTTCCCAGGTTGAGATTCCATCAGGTTGATTGACATATGCGCATTCCAGCAGATCAGGCTCGCCCGCAGCCAACTGCGAGTGTCCTCCGGGTCCTCGCGCACGTTCTCGCCCCTCGGCCAGGCCGCCTGTCCCGTTAGTCAAGCCCCTGTCTCTTCACACAAATCCTTAACACGCACCCGGCCGACCATCGAGACCAGTCCGAAAACGACCTAGCGCCCAAAACCCCACCAAACACAGTCCTCCCACTTGCCAAATTTGCGAACACTTTTCGCCCTTCAAAAGCGACCCCTCTTCTCTTCTCCAGACCCAGACAACGAATTTCCGTTTCGCAGTCTCGTTCATTTTTCACACCCCTCGACCTTCCCAGACAAACCGCCAAGATGATTATCTACAAGGTACGACACCAAGCCCCTTCAGACGACATACCGATGGCCTTGCAGAGGTACACGAGCTAGATGGATTCTGTACCCCGCCATTTTGGGCGGCGGAGGAAAAAAGCGACAGAAAATGTTTTTCTTGATAGGGGGACCGGAAAGCTAACCAGAACCCCGCAATTAACAGGACATCCTCACCGGAGACGAGATCATCTCGGACTCCTACGACCTCAAGGAGATCGCTGGCACTGTCTACGAGGCTGACTGCGCCATGATCACTGAGGGCACTGTCAACGTCGGTTCGTAATACCCTACCATAGGCCCCCTGGGCGCTTACCCCGCGCCTCCTTCCTGTTCCAGCGAGAAGAAACAACAGCGGCAGGATGCTAACGGAGCAACGCTCAGACACCGGTGCCAACGCTTCTGCCGAGGAGGCTGACGAGGGTATTGAGGACGCCGAGGTCAAGGTCAACAACATCGTCCACTCCTTCCGTCTCCAGTCCACCCAGTTCGACAAGAAGAGCTACTTGACTTACCTCAAGGGTGCGTAAAATTACAGGCGAATCATGGCCAGCATGTTGAAATTGAGGTTTCGCTGACACTCGTTGTTCAAGGCTACATGAAGGCTGTCAAGACCGCCCTCCAGGAGAAGGGTGCCGATGAGGCCAAGGTCAAGGAGTTCGAGACCGGCGCCTCCAAGTTCGTCAAGGAGACCCTCCTGCCTAACTTCAAGGACTTCGAGTTCTACACTGGCGAGTCCATGAACCCCGACGGAATGTAAGAAGCAACCCCAATTCATACTTTTCGACATTTGGATACTGACTTTGATCAGGGTCGTCCTCCTGAACTACCGTGAGGATGGTGTCACCCCCTACATCATCGTCTGGAAGCACGGTCTTGAGGAGATGAAGGTTTAAGAAATCTCGACGGAAAAAGTTCTGTTTTCGAGATTTTCTTCGGTGCTGGGCTCCATTTTACGTCTGGACACCTTGCTATAGCGTCCATCTGCTTTGGCATATATCCCTTCAGATCCTTAGCAAGCAAAAAAGTGAAAAAAGAACACTCGGTGTTGGCCGTAATATTTTGAATGATTCCACGGGTGCTGAAGTGAACTACAGATGCTGCTTCTGTTCCTATTCAATGCCGAGTTATATCTACAGAGTGCCATTCCCCGCAGGGTGGCCTGACTGGCCGTAACAAACAACGCCACAAATGCATGCCTTATGTAATGATAACAACCCCGCCTCTATCCAATGCGCAGTACTCTAGAACGTCGGCTTGGTAGCCAAGGGAATCGGGGGGGGTTCATCATCGCCGGGCGGCGTCGGCTGAGGTGCCCCGCCGATCTGAGGCTTCTTCTTTGGTGGCGGAGGCGGAGGCGGCTTCTTCTTCCCTAGAGCGTTTACGAGTCCGGGCGGCGGAGACAACGGCGTGGATGCGGCACTTGAACTACCCGTCTGCTGCTGCTGCTGCTGCCCGCTGGCCTGCCCGGCATACTTCCCAACCTTGTCGGCAATGCCGTACTTCTGATTCAGATTGTTCGCACTCTTGACGCCGGCAGCGACCTGCTCTCCGTGTCGTTGACGGAAGTTGTTGAATGTGGACGCAGCAGAGCGGGCATCTGCCATTGACACTGATTTCGGGTCCTTGTGGAAGTTAGACGCCGTGCGGAGAGCTGCTTGCTTCTGTTCCATTGTAGTCCCCTCCGTTGGCGGCGGGCTGGCTGATTGCCCTGAGCTCTTGCCTAGCTTCGCAAAGCGGTTTTGCAGCTCGTTCATCTGTCCGGTGCTAGGCGGCGAGAAAGCCCCTGACCGCGGGGGCGGCGCAGGACTGCTGTTGTTGGAGCGGGACGGGGGATCGGGGGGGGCCGGCCTTCCAATGCCTAGGGCGGGTACCGATACCCCTGCGGATCCAAGCCGGTTCAGTGCATTCTGGTTGAGATATCCCCCGCCACTGGATGTTGGAGGAGGTGCGGGTGATGCTGGCGCGGTAGCTACCGAGGTTGCGGATGGTGTTCGAGGTGGAAGTCGAGGTGGCAGGCTCGGCGGTGGCCGTGTTGCCGCCTGGCCGGGGGTCCTTCCGTCGGCACCATCTTTCCGTCCCGGCGGCGGGGGCAGGTGAGAAGTCGACAAACCCGTCGTGTTGACCCGGAATGGCTGTGGCGGAGGCGCCTCCTCTTCCTCTTGTTGCTGGGCGTAGCGATTGTCCTCGTAAGGCGGAGGCGGCACACCAGGCGACGTTGCACTCGATCGTGGAGGCGGCGGCGGGATAGGTTGGCGTGGATCTCTCCTCGGCGGCGGTGCAAAGGAAGAGGGATCTTGTAGAGACGATAATGGTCTGGCGACGTGGTCTGCTCGATCCTTCTCCTTATTCCTGCCCAAAAGTCCATTCTGTCTCTCTCCGTCAGCTTATCGATTGCGTGCTTTCTGCCATGATTGACCGAACGCACCACTTGGCCCTTGAGCGTAGTTCCCTCTTTCTCAGGATGCCACCCATTTTTCATGAAATTGCCGAGTCCTGAAGACATTGTGCCGCACACGTTTTCTCGAACGTCGAAAAAAAGGTTCGATAAAAAGGGGAACACCCAAGAAAAAAAGAAGTTCGACTCGGGTTTCGGGCGGTGTGAAAAGGAGAGACAGGCGTGTCCGGTTGTGCAATTAATGTAAAAGCGTCTCCGGTGGAGGTTCAATCATGGATGTCTCCAGCGGTGGCTCTTCGTCAGCGCTGCATCCTGGTTCGCTGCGTGACGTCGGCTGGTGTGGCAGTGACACTAAGCGGGAGTGGACGCCCCCGCCCCGGTCACCATTGGGCCGCTAAGATAACGGGCAGTCGGGCGCTGGCAGGGCCGTCAGCGGGCAGGTAAATCGTGCTGGACGCCTTGCGATTCAGGCGCGAAAAAGCGCCCCTCCGCTGAAGGAAGCAGCGCCCTGGGCCTGGACTAAATATTGACTTTCGTCGCGTCGGTCGCGTCTTCGATTTGCATGTCATCGTTGCTGCTTACCCGACTGCGACCAACCCCGCCGATTGACTGCAGCCCAACAGCCCGCGATGGCGCAACGAAATATTATCGACGTCGAACTGTTGACTGAACACCTCGGATACGCGCCGATTGTATGTTGGTTTCTGATTCCTAGTCAGCGCATCTTGGGGTGATTGTGAGGCTAACTACGGCGCAGTCGCTCCTCGACAGCATCATCAACAACGTCAACGCAGTCGCCGACAAGACCCTCGACCGTGTCGAGCAGGGCCTCTCCAAAGCGCCACCCAAGGCCCTCGGATTCGAAAAGGCACTCAAACAGCAGAAAAAGAAGGCCGCCTCAATTGAACAGCAGGCCAATGTCGAGGAGACGGCGAAGCTGGAGATCATTGACGGGGTGCACAAGCTCGAGACGCTACTATGCGCAGCTATCGACAAGAACTTTGACAAATACGAGTTGTACGTGATGCAGAATATTCTCGGCATTCAACCAAGCCACCGGAACTGGATGCGCCTGGCCCACTACGACGGTCTCGACTTTACGGCAGGAGCACACGAGGACGCACCGACGAGGGAGAGCGTCGACGCGCTGAGACGGAAGCTGCAGGCCAGCCAACGGCTGAATGTCATGCTTCACGCCGAGCAGGCCAAGAACGCGGCGCTACTGGCGAAGTTGAAGGAGGTTGTCGGCGGTAAGCCCACCGGCGCCAGGAGTTCGCTGGGAGCTGCGGAGGTCAAGGTGGAGGGTGCGGACGATAAGGCGCCGTTCCAGTTCTTGCACAATAAGGGTGACTTGACAGGGGCGGACGCCAAGACGCCGATCACGACCACTACAGCGTTCAACTTGTCACAGCTGCAGGCGTTGCGGGCTCTGTCAACTTCGCTGAGGAATATCATGCCTGACCTGAAGGACCCAGCCAGCACCGAAGAAGGAGCAGAGAAGAACAAGAGCTGGAGGCGGGAAAGAATGGAGTACGTCGAAGGCGAAACGAGGAAGCATCTTGAGAGTGTCAGGGGCCTCGAACTGGGCAAGGACGGAGAAGTTCGAGACGGAGAGTGGCAAGGCGAAGGAAGAAAGTTTGCCAAGGGCGAAGTTGAGGGACTTGAAAGCGTGGTCGCAGCTCTTGGGGGAGGCTCAGGTGAGCCCGCTGCACAAGACGATCCGGACGCCATGGACGAGTCATGATTCACTCAGCTCGTCTGAGTCGCGATGGGATTGTTATTCAAACAAGGCCACGACAGAAATACGGCGCCAATTCTTCACTATCTTTCTATGCTCAGCAAGCTATAGCAACACTAGCAACGCCTCCGAGAGATGAAACTCGACATACAGAGCACACACGCTGAGCGCTTCAGAGGCCAAGAAGTACCTTGCCCTAGCCGCTTCACAGCCGGACACCATTATTGGTGTTGAAGGCTCGTCAATCACAGGACTGTGGGCCGACACCGCGACGGTCCCCTGCTCATTTCTTGCTGCTAGGATCTACACAAAAGGAATTGGCAAAGCATCATTTCGAGTAACCTGGGCAGCTGCCAGTCTCAGAGATTCGTCGAACCGCCTATAGCTTGACCGAGCTCGTACCCGCCCACAGCTTCTAGAACTTGGATGCAACTCTGGACACCGGCCACATCGAGTCCAAACGCTCAGTCAGAAGCTAGGTGTCCGGGTGCGTCAAGGAGTGGAATGGGACGGTAGAGTCATACGTCGCAGGCGGGCGGGAAGGACCAAGAAACGTTACGACGTCACGAATCGAACGGGCATGTCAAGTGTGAGGAGGGAGGAAACAGATTAAACAAGTACATACCAGATGAGCTCGAGAAGGGTAATTCAGCCATGGCTCAAACCCCTAAACCTACAAAACCTACTGCACTTGAGGTTCGTGATTTCGTATCAATGAAGTAGGGCGTCATACCTCTAGCCCCTGTCGTACTTCATCTGACTTGGTTGAAAGGATTGAAAGCGGGTGCACAATAAGGGAGGGGCGGCGCTGGTCTTCGAATGAAGAAGACCGCGGCCGCCTAGCCACCTCCCGAGGTCATTACAGATACCACAGCTCTGCTGCAATGTCCAGGTCGAGTGTGTGTGGGATTAGCCAAGTGACCACATGTCCTCATCTTGACCGCTTTGGTTGAGGTCGCCATGAGCTTTGACGGCCGCCAGAGATAGACAGCAAGCGAGGCCCTCTTCTTCTCGCAGCATCTCCTTAATGATTCACAGCATTCTACATGAGTTTTTGCTATCCAGGCGGATAGTATGACGAGAGTAGTACTAAAAACAATGAGGACGACCAGGGTGATAACAAGAAGGGTGATAATGAAGAGAAAGGTCATAATATCGCTTGCATGATAGCAACATTATAATAATACAGCATCCCTCTTCCTTCAGCTGTCACTCCTGATGCTGTGCAGCACCATCACTGGTTTGGTGGAATGGCCCAGCACGCATTAGACATGTTGAACGAAAACCCTCTGGTTGATGTTGATTCTACTCGTTGTATTTGATCTACAGCTAGCGCGAGCCTGCTGCTATGTACTTCATTCTCGTGACTTAACGCCTATCTGCTGATTGATGATTGATTGTTATGCTCCCGTGACCCAAACCCATTCCCATTAACACCAATGACTGTAATACAAAACCATTGAAAGGGGCAGAAAAAAATCACATCTCCTCACTGATACCCTCAGAAACCTGGTCCCACTCCTTGCACCATCCGAACCAGTATCTTCTGCGACATTCGGGCTCTGAAGGTGCCTTGGTGGGTGCCGTAGTCGGAGTTGCGGTCGGCGCGGGAGGGGCCGAGGTGATTAGATGAGAAGTGGTTGTTACAGGTAGAGAGGCCGTCGTCGAGACCGCGTCCTTGCATCCCCAGAAACGGCCTGGTGTCATGCAAGTGGTCGTGGCAGACTCACTTGTCGTCGTTGTTGACGTAGTAGTTGTCGTAGTGGACATAGTCGTCGTCTTGTCCTTGCATCCAAACCATCCGGGTGTCTTGCAAGTTGAAGTCGTCGACGTGGAGGTGGTGGTTGTGGGACCGCCCGTAGTCGTCGTCTCGTCCAAACATCCCCACCAGCCAGGAGTCTGGCATGTAGCAGTGCGAGTGCGAGTCGTCGACCTTGTCGACGTCGAAGACCTGGATGTGGTCGTGGTCTCGGTGCCGTTACTCTCATACATCTTCCAGTTGACGCAATCACGGCACTCGGGGGTCGCGTGGCATACCGGGACATCATCATACTTCTCGATCACGTCGTGGATGACTGATCGAATCTTGTGTGTTCCGATACCAACACGCCATCCCTTGTCGGCCACTACGTCGTAAACACACTCAACTCCGGTATGGCAGGCGGACTCCATGGCGTATCCGGCGAAAGAACAGGTCGCGGTTGCGCCGTTACAGGTGCCGATGTAAATGGGGTCTGCTGTGTGACCAAAGTGGAAGGCACCGGTATTCTGACGAGCTTGGTGGACCATCTGCTCGGCTCCTGGGGGTACTGGCAAGCCCAGTCTGCCGGCAGCGAGCGCCTCTGGTACGGCTTCGAAGGTAACGACAGGCACACCGTAGGTTAACCCCAGTAAGGAGCTAACGGCGCCGCCCAGGGAGTGGCCAGACAGCCAAATGTTTGCATCGGGGAAGATCTCGGTGACGTTGGAGTATAGTTCCTTAGCCGCTGTATAGTATCGGTGCTCATCCTTGAGTGCTTGAACGACGCAGGTGTTGTTGCATGAATAAGTAGACGTGGCGCAGTCGCAAACTTGATGCCAGGTCCACTGTCCTTGCTGAGCACAGCAGCAGCTGAAGAAAAGGTTGTCGTTGATTTTGTCGTTGGTAGTGGTGCCATCGCCGTCGAAAACCGCGGGGGACGTGCCCTTCAGTCCGATGACAACAGTCGAGTTCGTCGCATCGGCCCAGATGTGACCGCGCAAACCGTCGGTCTCCCATCCAAAGTCCGCACTCCTATTGTACGGGCCGCCGACTTCTTCCCAGTCCGCTTGTCCCTCCTCCTCGACGTACGCGTTCGCTGCCATCATCGCCATACTCAGCACGGTCGCCTTGTCGGTGATGTTGGGTCCGGGGACTTCGTCGGTGGTCCAGGATGAGGGCGACATGATGTTCACATAGCCGCGCTGTCGGGCTTCGGTGACCATGGGGTCTACAACAGACGGGCGGCGATCGACCAAGCGTTCTATCTTGAGCGGCGAGCTCCGAGCCTTCAGGGGCGTGACCCTCTCCCTCTCGAAGCCATCCTCTGCGGCCAGCCACACCTGGCTCTCGGCGTCGTTTGCGTGGCTACGGACATCCCTCCGTCGGTGTAAGTCAGGATGGCGATAAGTGCCGTGATGGAAAACGTGTCGTAGTGTAAACAGGTGCTCGTCTGAAAGGGGTTGTTGGGTGGTTGGCGGCAGCAACGGTCCAGGAGGCAGGACTGCTTGTTCTTGTTGGGGAGCTTCCCCTGCGTATGTCAAGGTTGGCGATACCGCGAGGAACGATAAGAGCAGCTGGGCCGTGACTCTGCCAGCAGAGGTGCATGCGCCGCGATTCCCCAGTTTTAGTCGCATATTTGGTGGTTGTTGTAGAATGAAGGATGGTTGACCAGAGAGCCAGGCGAAGACGGGCGACAGTCTGGTGTTGCACATATGAATCCCGAGGTTGGGGAAGGGCGGACGGGATCAATGATGCCGACGTTGAGATGCAGAGGATTCGCGTGCCCGTTATGACAGCATCAGGTGGGCAACTGGCGGGTGTTTACGTCGCCTCCGAGTCGCGGAGGGTGCTCAGACCAGGCCTGATAACCCACTGCTGTATCCGGCAGGTCTCCGCCTCCAGATCTCTGTTAAGATCTTAGCGTATCCACGCCGCTTTCACGTTAACAGATCCCCTGAATCAGTACTCAAGGCACCATGCCTCCTGATAAGGCGCAATCAGGGAAACCCACACCAGCATGTGACCATGGTCACCTCAGACAGTGCATGTCCTCTGTATTTCCAGCCAGTCGGAGGCCTGACACTCGTTCGTGTCCGCCACTTTGGGGCATCATGGTCATCTTCAGCGGACGCTCGGTAACTGGACGATCCCGTCGCGCTCCCCAGGGCGGTGCAGCTGCCATGGATACCTAAGGTAATTTTTGACAGCCCGAGGCAAATCAAGCGTATTCATGCTGGAGGTGGATGTCTACGGGGCTTGACACGGGATTCTGCAGGCAGTGTTGTGGACGGGTGACCAGACCGCCCAGGTCCCCGGGGCACCTTATTGGAATACCTGGACTGCCTGCAGATGGGTAGGCACATTGACGATTTGAAAGCAGCTTTGGCTGCCTTCAATCTTTGTCTGCTGCGTTGGGCCAGAGTCGAAGATAGCATGGTGCCCAAGGTGTTGAATAACAGAGCCGGCCACGACAGCAGATCGAGATGGCAACATGTCTGTCTGTTCCCCCTCGCTGGGCGACGTGTCTGACCCAGGTCAGAAGGTGAAAGTACCAACCTAACCAAAACGGACGAGACGGTGAAGCATCATTCGCCCTGTAGTAGAGCGGCTCCTGGACGAGGTGAGGTAGCCTACAAAGTAGAGCCAGCACGCCCACGCCCTGCCTTGCCCAAATCAAGCCCCCTGTCATGCCTATCCGTAGCTCCCCAGTACATGCATGCAATGAAGGTCGGATCCGTCTGCAGATGACACCTTCCACCTTTTCTAGTGTTCCAATGAGACAAGAGCGGGGACGAAAGCTCCCACAGTAGCTGCCCGTTGCTTGCGTTACGTCGCCTTGTTCATGTTGCTCTGAAGCTTCCATTCCATCTGCAAAGACATCGGCTTCCACCTTGTTGCTTTTGCTTCTTTTGCGCGGGCACCGAGCAGGCCGTGCTGCCATCGCAAAGAAGCCCTGACATCATTCTGTTAGAGATGCGAATAGAAACATAACTGCCATCTTTGGCCATCCTGCGATCCATTATCCCTGCCAACCCGCTCCATTTATGGCATAAATCCGCCTCACACGCGACTCAACCGTCCCGCGTGCTGCCGCCAGGGATCTCTTTCCTCTGATATCGGGTTTCAAGACCGGCTCAATACTTAATGCCGCCCTGACGACAACAGGTATGCACTTCTTGAGCCCGCGACATTGGCCCGTCTTTTCGTACTCTTGCAATCTGCACGGCTGACAGAGATGGCTTCTAGCACCGTCGAAACCCTCATGGCGTCCACCGGCCCCTCCAAGTCTCCCGCCGCTCGGCCGAGCACCATACGAGCCCCATCCTTCACTCGCCAGAGCGAAGATAGCGATCCTCTGAGAGTACCGAAACGAGCCCAAACCTTTCAGAATGGCTCTGCACCCGACCCGTTGGCCACGCCGGCCGTCCCCAGCAAGTCGAAACAGGCAGACGAACCAGAGGCCCCAGATGCTTTTGAAACACGACCCTCAACAGATAACGACGATGGCTTCGACGGCAGAGGATCTGTGGACCTGGGCGAGTTGCCAATCGAGCTTGTGAGCTTGACTGACAGGTAGCGCACCTGATGCCTTCCAAACTAGAGTACGATGATCTGACAGAGCACAGCTTCGTCGAGTCGCTGACCACGAAACATCACCCGACGCCACTGAACATCGACAATGTTTCCCAGCTTTTCCAGGATTTCTATCAAGTCGCATCAACACACATCAACACCCACATTTCTTCGCTGGTCTCCCGGCATAACCGGGAGGCGTCTCCCGCTCCGTCCGCGTCATCCAAGGTCTCCACAGCCAGTAGGCTCCGAGCCAAGGCAGCGTCTCTCGGCAACAAGGACAAGCCAAAAGTTCTGCCCAAGGCTGAGCCGGAACAGCAAATGATCACCGCGGAGGAGCTGGCCAACAAGAAGAAGGCTCGAAAGGCGATTGAGGCTAAGCGGGGAGTCATTGAGGAGGCCGTCGAGCGAAGGCTATGTGAGGGCATCTATCACAAGATTTATCGCCACAAGAGCACCCAAGATGAGGCGCAAGATGCGAAACTGCGGTCCAAGACTGCAGCGTTAGCCCTTGTTGGTATTGGGCCCTTGGACCTTGGAATCGATCTTGGAGACGACAAGGCGCAGACACCTGAGGCGGCTGTCGAGAAAACCGAAGAAATCAAGAAGTGGCTGGAGCAGGCCAGGAGAGACCTCATCATGATGAATGAGAAGAGGTATCCGCTTGGCAAGCTTCACCATCTGAAGGCAGCTCATAAGAGCATCGTCGAGACTTTGGCGCACTTCCATCCGTCTGCTTCCGCGGATGAGATCATGCCGATGCTCATCTTCGCACTCATCACGCTTCCTCCTGAACACTTGAACGTCATAAGCGACTTGCACTTTATTCAGTACTTTAGATGGGATACCAAGTTGACGGGTGAGGCCGCCTACTGCTTGACCAATCTGGAGGCGGCCATTGCCTTTCTGGAGACGGTCGATCTATCCACGCTAAGGGCGGATGAGCTACCCCAAGGTCCTGGAAAAGGTCCGAGCCAGCCGGGGACGCCCCGCGCTGACACGTTTCCTCCGGCCTTCCCGCCCGGCTTGACGGTAACAGCGGACACAACGGTGGAGACCGCTACTGGGAACGCTACCCCAACGAAGCCGCCCGCTTCGCCCTCGGCCTCGGCCGGGCTGCGTGCTGCAGTTCAGGCTCGGAATAGAAGACTGAGTGAACTCGTTAATACGCCTGCCCAAGCCATCGGTGCTGCCAGTGATGCTGTTCTCAACACTGCTGACCAGCATATCAAGACCATTTCGACCAGCTTGGGTGATAGCTACAAATTTCTCGTTGGGAAATTGCGAGAGTCTCAAGGGTCACCCACAGAATCGGGTCAGGGGCTAGTCGTGCCAAAGACTCTTGATGATGCCAGGAAACTGGTCAGCACCCCGCCTCCCGAGGACGAGGACTCGGTGAGCGGTGCTAGTTCCATTCACGGTACAGAGGATGCCGACTCCACCCGTCGAGCTCCCTTACGAGAGGACAAGATGTTGAACCTCATCGGCGGACGGAAACCTAGCAGAGACCACAGTGCCGATAGTTCTCGCAGTGTGAGTAGTTCCAAGAAGGCTGCGCTGCTGAAAGAGAATGACGAGAAGGGTTTGCCCTCGTCGTCGCCGGCATCGGGTTCAAACCCACTCGACTCTGTGCGCAACTTTGGCAATTCGCTCTCCAGGTTCTCTGGCATGGGTATGATTCGTGGTCTTAGTCGGACTGCATCTACGCCCGTCGTGGCCAAGGAGATGTCACCGCCAAAAGATGGTCCGACCAAGGCGGCCGAAGGTGTCGACCTTGCAACGGTATGGTTCCCATGGACATCAGCCAGGATTCGAGACTAATTTTGGTGTAGGCCTTCCCAGACATCGCTGCCGCTTTGCCGCCTAAGCAAGCACCGGCCTCCAAGCCAGTGCCACAGATCAAACCACCCAACAAGCGTTTCATGGAACTCCAAAATGCGGGCGATCTCAAGCTTAACGAAGTACTGGAGCTGTTGCGTGACTACAGGAGACTGGCAAACTCGTTGAAGGATATGGGTGCATTCGAGGGCCAGAAGTGAGATTCCATGTGGCCGCCTTGAAAGGCAACTTGCGTTCATTACGAGTGGGACAAGGGCAGCATATCGGAGACACTGGCGTTTTGATTTTTGTTTTGGGACCTGTCGGCAGTCAAGGCTGCAGGTAAAGCGACGCTTCACCACTGGCAAATTATACAAGGAGGGTCGTGTGGTATTATTACTAGACATAGGGTTTTTACAAAGTAGCTTGAAATAAAAGAAAGACCGCCATACCCCACATCCTACGTGGTTGATCAAGATGGGAAAGTGCTGATGCTTCCGCATGACCTTTGCAAACATCTTCTGCGAGAAATGCTTTCTGGGAAATCCCCGGGCGCCAGTGGGATCAAAGCAAGAGTGCCTCTCCGTACATTAAACATGAACATCGTCCCTGTCAATGGCACGGCCATCATGTCATGATGATTTACCGAGGCACCAGCGAAGGAGAAGAAGAGAAAGAGAAAGAAAAATGAAGGGTTTCTACTCTGATTTTTGGTTTTATATGTACCTGACAGAACGACAAGAAAAAAAAGGAGTGAGAGAATATCCATTTCGCTCCCTGCGACGACAAGAGACTCGCTCGCGCCCTAAACACCCAACCAATGCTGTGGAAACGATGCTTGAACGCCCGCCTCCCTCTTCCCCAACCTCTCTCCACCTATTGCTTTCCCCGGTTTACCCGTTTTCAGAGGCCCGGGAGCTGGGGATGTGTTCGGAGGGCCCTCGCCCAGGGAGGGATACTGATGTTTTGTGTGTTTGCGTGTGTGTGATGGTGGTGGTTGCGGTATATGTACCTTTTGGGTTTTTGTTTGTGTGAAGTGGGCGTGATTTTGGACATAGGAAAGAAACCCGAAGAGTAGTATATGCCTCCCTGCCTCCCAGACCGTTCCATTATTGTCCGTTGTGTGGTTGTTTTGATTTTGTTGACTTATTTGGTTTGGTGATTTTTCTCCGTCCCCGAGTTGTTTAGTGGTTACCGTTCAACTTGGGGTCCTTGGGCGGCACCGTGCTCGCGCGGTTGGTGCGCTCCTGGAGCACGCCGATGGGCACATTGCCAGCCTCCTTCTCGTCGTTGATCATCTTCTCCATGAAGGCGATGTAGTCGTACTGCGGCATGCCGCGGTCCTCGGAGGTGTCTGGCCCGTTGTGCGGTGGGATGATCTCAATGAGCTTGTCGATGACCTCGTCGGGTACCAGGGAGTGGCGGAGATCCATCTCAGTAACGTAGGGCTTGCCGTCGGCTACCTCACGGAAGGACTGGAATACCTGCTCGGCGGTGTTTTGATCCTCGGTCACGTCAACCATGAAGCGGATGAACTGCTCGAAAGTGACGTGGTCGCGGCCCTTTGAGGTATCCATGAAGTAGTCGTGCATCTCATCCTCAGAGAAGACGAGGCCAAGGGAGGCAAGGGCGGCGCTGAATTCAAGTTCCTGGAGTGAGTTGGTGTCGTCCCGGTCAAAGTGGCGGAAGACAGACTCGAACTCCTCAAGCTGGATGGGTGTCAGGTTGGTCATGTTGCGGGCGACCATCTGGTTGTCGAGGAAGGAAAGCTTCTTCTGCACTGAGGACTTGACTAGACTGTGCTCATAGACCAACTCATCGTAGGTGTAAGTGGTGAAGTCATTCTCCTCAATGTTGGCCTCCTGGCACTTGGCGTCCACTGCAGCAATAGTGTCAAGATACTTATCGAGAGGGGGGAGGTTGTCGCTGAGCTTGCGGACGTGATGCAGTTGGTCCTCGACATCACCGTCCAGACCTGAGATTGCCAATTGCATGGTATTTAGAGCCATGGCAAAGTCGTTGGCCTTGTCGGCGAAAGATTTGCGGAGGGCGTTCTTGATGCTGTCAGGAAGTTAGTATGGAAATGGTTTCCTTGTGAAAAGATGCAACACTCACTCTCTGATGGTCTCGTTGATCAGCTGTGCTCGCCTCATCTCCGTCTGCGCCAGAGTCGACCATTCCTTCTCCATCGTCTCCAGCGACAACTCTGGTGGGGGGTCATACGGCCGCAGCCTGTACGTGCCCAGCTTCGTCTTGATGTTGCCCAACAGGGTGGCGAGCTCGCTCTTCTCGGCAACCCAGTCTCTCTTCTTGCCCCTCTTGAACGCCGCGAACTCGTTGGCTTGGGCTTTGGCATCGGCGTACGTTCCTTGGAATGTAGCCTGCTGCCACTTCTCAACCTGCTCCCTGATCTGCCTCAGAAGCTCTCTCATGCGCCTCTCATACGCGCTCTGCATCTCCCAAGCGCCAGCCATGTTGTTGACAAACTTCTCCACGCGACGTCCCGCATTCTCGACCTTCTCCATCTGAGAGAAGGCGTGGAACCAGTAGGCGATATAGGTCATGAGTGACCTCTCATCGGGCTTGGCAACGTCACACACATCCTCAACATCCAGCAGCTTAGGAATACCAATCTCCTTATGCGCGATATCGAAAGCCATCTGCATGTTTCCCCGACGGTCCGACTTGTCGAGGGCGTCGTAGTCGATGAGGTCTGGTCTGTGGATATCGAGCAGGGCGCAAAAGGCGAGTCCGTCGTTCCAGCTGCCGCTGAAGTCGCGGACCTCCACCTCGTCGTAGCAAGCTGTTTTTCTTTGACACCACAGGAGCAAGCCCTCCTTGGCTGTCATACCCTCCTCGTTGATGTCACTGATCGTGAACCGCAGAATGAGTGTCCAGATCAGACCAAGGATGATCTTCTGGTTACCGTCGACGACATCCTCGGCACCGATGTTGGTCATCTGAATGCCCCTGGACTTGATGAAATCCAGACCGGTGTTGACATTTTCGAATCGTTGAACACGAAGCTTCGGCTTCGCCGCGTAGCGTCCCAGTGTATCGTTGGACAGGCTTTCTAGCAAGTGGATGAGGATAACCTGCGCAAGCAATCTCTGTTAACCAAGAGAACCCCGCAATTCTGGGAATAGGGGCTTGCAACTTACACCATCGCTGAGATCACGCACGAGATCCTTGACTTCGAGTGAACGAGCCTCCAACTTGGTATTGAGCCTGGCAAGGAAGCACACATGTCAGTCACTGATCGTCGTCACCACGGACAGAACCAGGGTCCTTTTTCTCGGGGTGGGGTCCGGCTCGTACCATTTGGTAAAGGTCTTTTGCTGGACCGTGATCCATTTCTGCTGTTCAGCAAACGCCATTCTCGTCAAGCCCTGGTCATGCGGCGGCTCAATGGCAGCGAGGGCATCGGCGGGGGAGGATCCGGTGGCAGAGCGGAATCGGTTCTTCTTGGCGACGCTCTCCTTGCGAGTTAATGCGAGGCTGCTGCTTCCAGATCTCTGCAGGCGCTGCGCATGCAACTCCTTTTTGTCTCGTCGGCTTCGCGGGCTCGGGGTGGTGCTGGCGGAGCTGTTTGTACGGAAACGCGAGTCGGGGGAGGACTTTTCTGGAGTCGAGTGCTCGGTGTTGGTCGGTGTGGTCGGGGTCGTGGAGGCGGGTGAAGATGTAGAGGTGTGGCTGCCGGTGGTGGATTTGGTGCCGGCCGAGTGGTCGTGTAAACAAAACTCGGGGAATTCCTCGTTGCACTGGACGTTGCCGGGCAGACTCGAGCCTGACAGTGGGCGCTGCCCCTGAGGGCCTCCCCCGGTGGACGTCATTTCGGGCGATTCTAGTGGCTCGCTAAGTCGATTGGCAGCGCTCGTCCGCTGCAGGCGCCGGGATTTCGATAGTGATGTGGCTTATCGATAACGGCCCAACTGCCGGTCTGCTAGGATGAGGGGGGGAAACGTTTCTTCTGGACGTCTTCTAAGGGTGCCTCTTTTAGCAGGTGAATGGAATGTTGTGGGTGAATATGTCTGTGTCACTTACAGCTAAAAGACACTAAGGTTGGTTAGCAGGTTCAATGCGTGTTGAAAACAAAACAAGCTGGCAACACGGCAACGGCGAGAAGAGTATCGAGGGAGTCAGTCGCACTACAAACCGCAGTAGGGGACACTTCGCAGTTTATACCATTCATCGGATTCCCTCCAACGCATTCCAACGCCTTCAGTCTCTTCTCAAGTACAGACGAAAGACGTCGCGCGGCGCCAACAGAGCGAGGTCTCCCCCAGGCGCAAGATCCCTTCTGAAACAAGAGCCTGTCTCCCGTCCCTCCACTCCACGATCAGGAACGCGCCCCTTTCTCCCATCTCTCCCACAAGGACCCCGTTGATCCCTCCGCTAAATCGGCCCTCGACGAGTGCTCGAGTCGTCACTGTCGCCTTCGCCCTCGTCACCCCCAGCGCCAACGGGCCCGCCCCCTCATCCCACTGTCTAGGCCACTTATGCATGCCATAATGCTTGAAGCTGATCGGCAGGGATCCCCAAGGGTGCCATGGAGGTCGTGACTTCCAATTCTGGCCGCCGCGAAGCCTCTTCGTCGTCGCGGATAAGGCAGTTGCAAGAGATAGGGGGAGGCTTGCAGCTCCTGTCTTATGCTATTCGCCGGGCCCTCTTAGTTGCCCATCCTTGAACAATGGCCTCAATGGCCCGTTCTGGCTTTTCTGTCTGCATTCTTGGAACATTCTCCCCTTCAGCCACTCTCCATTTTGTGGGGGAAACCGCCGACAAAACGGCGAACCGCTCGAGGATCGAAATTCCATCGACGGGGGTCAGTTCCTCTACCCGCAACGTCGTCTATCCCGTGCCGCCGGCCTCCCGCTGTAATCCTCCGAGAGACCCTCGCGCGCGGTGGAGAGAAGGTCGAGGACGCATGAATGCACCGCGGGTACTCTGACGAGGACCGCGTCAAAGAGCTCAGACGGAGATTGGCAAGGACACTTTGCCCAGATCCCAAATCTTTTAGTTTCACAGGCCTGGAGATGGCCGATGCTGTTGCTGCTGCTAGCCCACCCGTCTCGTGGCCTCTGCGGACAAGAAGAGGCACGAGGGTCATTTTGCCGGGCGTCTGAGCCAGATTGCGACACGTCCCGCCCCTAGCCGAGACAATGAGCATGAGATGAAGAATGATGAGGTCAGACTTTTGGTCTGAAGAATGAGAAAAGGCATGCAGCCCGATTCCGAGGCCAGATCTGTCAGCACGGCACGCAGGTGGCAGAATGAGACGGAATTCGCACTTTTCCTCTGTTGGAATGGTGCTTGCTGAGCTAGATGCAATCTTCAGCAGATAAGATTGAAGTGTAATGCTACATGGCTTTCGGATGCAAGTTGGAAATCGTCTTTGAGACGAGCCAGTTCAGTTGCATTCTACCTCGCCAATCTCGACTTGGCTTCGCTTAACACTGTTGACTGTGGGCACCCGAGAGGACAAGCCCATTTGCAGCGATCTCGAAAACGGCTTCAGACATAAGACAACCTGAATATGCAGGAGCTTTTGTATCAACGGGCAAAACACTGTGAATCTTTTTTGCGGCGTGTCAAGTATGAGCTGCGCCTCTTTTGGGTTGCTTGCACCGAGTCGCAAGTCTTACTTACACCTAAGGCTGATGACTAAGACGACGTCGTTTTGGGGAATTCGAGATTGAGAACCACACCGGTCCGGATTTCGTCATCCAGGAATGGGGTTTCAGAGGCAAAAATGGGGTATTCACTTGCGAATAAAGCCAGATATTTAGACGATAAACAGCCGGTCGGATCGATGGACCATTGAATGCTGAAAGCCAGTTGGTCCTCCACTCCTCGGCGAAAACAAGACTTTTGCCGACGGCGAAAACTAACATTTTCACCGAGCCAAATGGTCGGGACTGCTGCACCGAACCACTTGATCTATGGCACGCAGGAATCAGAAGCACTCCAGGCGCTGTAGCGGGCTTTGACGCCATCGGGTTGGCAATTCCGCACTATTTACTGGCTGTCCCTGCAGGGGATTAGTGCTTAAAGCCGAAATCGGGACCAACGTCACCCGAATCTCGAACCTCACGCAACTTTTTTGAATTCTTCAACCCGCTGGGTCCTCAGTCTTTCAAAACCTAGCCAGGACACTCAAGAGAGCCCCGAGTGCGGCTGTTCGGTGCCCCTTTCCCTCCCCTCTTCTTTCCTTGTGTCCCACAGCCACATCAAAGTCATAATGGCCTCTAGATCAAGGATTCAGCCCCTCTTCCGGGCCGCTGCCCGGAGACAGACACTGCTGAGCGCCGGCAGCCGGCATCCCGCCATGCGGCAGATCTCGGCCCCGGCCGCTACCGCCGCAGCCGCCCGGTGTCTCTCGACCACGGCCGTGAGATGCGCGCAGGACAAGAAGGAAGTCAAGCTCACCGCTGCCGCCTACCCGGACCTGAAGCGGGATTCGCGCTTTGCCGAGGTGACGGATGCTCACGTCGCCTACTTCAAAGACCTCCTGGGCCCCTCCGGCGTTGTCGACGGCGTCACCACCGACGCCGCAGACGACCTTGCGGCTTTTAACGAGGACTGGCTGCGCAAGTACCGTGGCCAGTCGCAGCTTGTACTCAAGCCCGCGTCAACAGAAGAGGTCAGCAAGATCCTCAAGTACTGCAACGAGCACAAGCTCGCCGTCGTACCCCAGGGCGGCAACACGGGTCTCGTCGGAGGCTCCGTCCCCGTCTTTGACGAGATTGTCATCAACATGAGCCGCATGAACCAGATCCGCTCCTTTGACGACGTCAGTGGCACCCTCGTCGTCGACGCCGGCGTCATCCTCGAGGTCGCCGACCAGTTCCTGGCCAGCAAGGGCTACATCTTTCCCCTCGACCTGGGAGCCAAGGGCTCCTGCCACGTCGGCGGCAACGTCGCCACCAACGCCGGCGGTCTGCGTCTGCTCCGCTACGGCAGCCTCCACGGCAACGTGCTCGGTCTCGAGGCCGTCCTCCCCGACGGCACCGTCGTCGACGACCTGTGCACCCTGCGCAAGAACAACACGGGCTACGACCTCAAGCAGCTCTTCATCGGCGGCGAGGGCACCATCGGCATCATCACCAAGGTCTCCATCATCTGCCCGCAGCGTTCCCAGGCCGTCAACGTCGCCTTCTTCGGCCTCGAGTCTTACGAGAAGGCCCAGCAGGCCTTCAAGGCCGCCAAGGGCCAGCTCGGCGAGATCCTGTCTGCCTTTGAGCTCATGGACGCCCGCAGCCAGGACCTCGTCCACGCCGTCAGGGGCAACAAGCGGCCCCTGGAGGGCGACCATCCGTTCTACTGCCTCGTCGAGACGAGCGGTTCCAACGGCGACCACGACTACGAGAAGCTGGAGAAGTTCCTCGAGGACGTCATGACCAACGAGATCGTCGAGGACGGCGTGCTCGCGCAGGACGAGACGCAGAGCAAGGCTCTCTGGAGCTGGCGCGAGGGCATCCCCGAGTGTCTGGGCCACTGGGGCGGCACGTACAAGTACGACGTGTCGATCCCGCTCAAGGAGCTCTACCAGCTCGTCGAGGACACCAAGGTCAAGATGGAGGCGGCCGGGCTGGTCGGTGACACGGACGAGTTCCCCGCCATCGGCGTCGTCGGCTACGGTCACATGGGCGACTCGAATCTGCACCTCAACGTCGCTGTCAGACGGTACGACAAGCGCATCGAGAAGGTCCTCGAGCCGTTCGTCTACGAGTGGATCCAGGAGCGCAACGGCAGCATCAGCGCCGAGCACGGCTTGGGCGTGGCGAAGAAGGCGTTCATCGGCTACAGCCGAAACGAGAGCATGGTTGGCCTGATGAAGCAGATCAAGAATCTCTACGACCCGGTAAGCGGATTCTCGGTTCCTTTCTTTTCTCCTTCCTTCTTCCCGACGGGGCAGACTCGTTTACCCTTCCGTGCCGTTCGTGTAAGACTGAGAATGTGACCCCCATTTGTCACTTTGACTCTCACCTGCTGATGATGATGACTCCCCCCGCCGCCGTGTGCTGTCCCCCTCTCCCCCCCACACGATGCTGCCTGTCACTGCCTCCCCTCCCGCATGAAAATATTGCCCATCAGCCCTGCCTGCCTGGCGTGTGAAAGGAATGCTGACGTTGGGCCAATTAGAACGGCATCATGAACCCTTACAAATACGTCTGAGAGGGCGCCAAGAAACGATACCCCCCATCCCTGGACGGAGACGAGTCCGGCTGCCTTAGCCTTTCGGGCCTGACGTCTGGAAACGGTTTGTTGACGCGTGGTTGGAGCCCACGCCTGTGACTCCGGCTGGGTTCCCAGCCAATCAATGACCACCACCATCTGGAAAGAAAGAAGGCAATGTGGTTTTGTAAAAGGAAAAGAAAATCAGGTGTGTCGTGTGAGCGAGGGGACTGTCGGTGTGTGTGTGTGCCGGCGCGCGGCGCTCGTGTGCGTATGTGTGGGCATGACTGACTGCGCACTCTCAAAGGCGCCCTCTCGTGGTGGTTTAGAAGACATGACTCCCAATCGGGACATATTTTGAGATTTTTGTCTTACAGAGGGAGAAGAAAGTGCCTCGGCAAGCGTGATTTAGTAGGATATCACACGGCACATACGAAATGCACACTAGATTTATCATCATCATCACCAGAGAGACGTGAGGGGAATAAAAGAACACAGCCATGAAAAATTTCCAAATCCATCACAATCTGACGATCATCCGCCAACCCTCGGAGCGCCGAACCATGCCCGGGGGACGGGATTGACTTGGATCGGACATGTCTAAGATCGGACGTTGACGAAAACGTGATGCGATCAGTCGGTCAACCCCAGTTCAACAGTCCCCCCAGCCTCAACCGCAGCGGCCCCATGGCGTCCCGAGGACAAGTCTCAGCCCTTTTCCCAGCCCTGGGGGAGAGGGGAGGGGAAGGGGAAGGGGACTGATGACTCTACGTTCCAAGGACAGTAGTCACATACCATAGTATTGATGGGCAACGACGTAAGCACGTCCATTGGCTACGGTACGGCCGCCCCGAGCATCTCCCAAGGTGAGGGCGAAACACCAATGACAATCGCGCCGTCGCCGACACCCGAAGCCCCGCACACCCGCAGACCGGCGTCTCTGGTGTCTGGTGTGATCGTCCCTGCCTGCTGTTCTGGCAGGCGGTGTCAGGATTGGGACTCGTGTGTCTCTCGGCTGCCGCAGTGCTTTTCGGTTTCTCTTGTTTCCCCCCCTTGTCTCGATGGGATGGTGCCTGAACCCACGTCGTTCCCCCGGCCGGCCATTCCGCACCGACTGGCTGACAGTGCCCTGGCAGAAATCTTACATGCTCAGCTCTCATTTGCCCCTTTACTGAGGATACTGAGTGCGGCACTGCGACTTGCCAACCTCTCCCCTCAGCACTCTCAGCGGCCGCACCATGTCAGCCTCCGAGCGACCAATCCGGAACCAGGGCCCGTATGTCTCGTGGGGCCTCCGAACCCGGCCCCCTGTCGTCGGTCTGCAGCCCTACGGAGGCAGCTCCTAAGGGGGACGTGCACACCGTAGTTACCGGGGACGAGGAGGACATGGTGAGAAGGTTTACACTTTTTGTTTGCTTTTTGATGTTAGTCCCGCCTGTCAAGTCTCGGGTCGCACTTGCAACGATCCAATCTTGGCCAGTCGATGCTGTCATCCTTCACCGGGTGATTGTTTTGATTCCCACACTTGCGCATTCCCACGCGCCGCATATGCGTAGGCACCCTCTTCAAAGACACTGATCTGATACAATCATTTTCCCCATCCAGGGGCCCGGTCTTGGCCACGGATTTGCGCTCCTCGGTTCGATATCGAGGAACGAAACTAGAACTAGATTGATAGCCTCCGCCGATGCCGTCTCATGCAAGGAATCAGAACCGGAACATCATGTTCTCGCAAATCGAAGCTCATCGTGCCTCGGCCGGGGCAATCGTGATGCTCTATCTACCCGCACCCTGCCTCCGATTCTAACCAAAGGGAGGCATATATTTGATCGTCTCGGGGCGGCCTGCCTGCATACGCAGCCGCAGCCATCTTATTCGCCCAAGCAGTCCCGGGTGTTCAGTTCCCTTGCTCCCAACTGTCCATACACCGTCATGATCCACACTCGGTAGGGCTGCAGCACACCATCCACCAGGTTATCCCGCGAACCATTGTTTGCCTAACACGGTCCCACAGACGTCGGCACTCGCCCACGTAAGAACCTCCCACTCCGCCATCCTGGACCACGGGAGACCTCTTGACGTCCCGCTGCGGCTGTGTTGGGGCATGATATATACCGGGACTCGTGCGCCTGCCTTTCCGCGTTCGTCGCCTTGAAGAGGCTAGGCCAGCTATGGGCATTGCGTATCTTCCAACGTTGAAGTTTGAGATTTTGATTTGTCACCATGGTTGGAGTCCGTGGTAAGTATAAGGGGTGCGAGACATGCAGGGCCCGGCGAGTTAAGGTAAGCCCTTAGAGACCCTGAAGAGCGCCTCTTGGGAGAGACAACAGCTGACGGCTCGATGACTGCCTTAGTGCGACAACGAACGACCGTACTGTCGGAAATGCATCGACAGCGGCCGCGAATGCGCTGGGTACGAGCGCGAGATGGTATTCATCACCGCAACCATCGACGACGGCGGCCGTTGCTCGTCTCACCCTCCCCGACAGGTATCCTCGTCCAAGAAGTCTCCGAAAGCAAAAGCTGCCGAGCAAACGCCGCCTCGCCTCGCACCAACAGAGCCGCTAACACCCGCGTGGGATGACTTGATTTCCTTGTCTGAGAATGGCATCGTGTACTCGGTGCAGATTGCGACTCTGCATGCCAGGCTGCAGAACGTCTTGCGAGGCGAGGAGGACCGCAATCGATTCAGCTTCCCCATTGCCTTTCCACCGTACCTACCGATCGACGTGGAAACCTGGGACAACGGAGGCAACACGGACCTGGCTGCGCAGAACATGATTAGCCTCTTGCCTGCCGGTAACGTCGCCGGTCCACCAGACGGGATATGCGCATTTCTGTTCGAGGTGAGCGGATCTGAGTATTTGCAGAGAGAAAAAGACTGCTGACATGTAGCAGCAAAACCCAGCTTATCTTGTGACGAACGGCATCACCCCTTGGGGCGTACCCCAGGAGAACCAAGATGTAGTGAAGAAGTTTGGGCCGGAACAATTCAAGTACTTTCCGAATCACCATTTCTTCGTCAGGGTGTACAGGTGTAATGCTGTAAGGAACCAAGAAGCACTGTTGTACCGCCAGCGGCTAACTTGTAGGACAAGATCATTCTTGCCCTCCTTCATAGGAAAGCGACCTTCTTATCCTCATTTGAGTGGTGTACAATCCCATGGGAGATGCACCCCAAGAGTATCTTTGACAGACTTTTCGACGTCATCGTCCATCTGCCTGGCATCTTTGCCCGAGTCGACCGCACCATCCCATTCGCTGCAACTTTGCAACGCCGACTGAAAGCGCAGGAACTTTTGAGCAGTTGCTTGCAGGTTGAACAGCAACTGGAGGAATGGCATACATTCGCACGCTCCCCGACCCTTGAGCATCCGTATGCGTACTGGATCGAAGAATCGGACGATCAAGATGCACAACAGGTTCCTTTCGCCAACCCTTTTGCTGACAACTTCGCTTTCAAGGACGGGATTACCGCCGTCATGTTTCTGTACTACTGGATGACGCTGTTGCTCCTCCATCGGTGCATCGAGAGTCTGCACCACGCCATATTTCAGCCAGTAATCGAGGATTTTCCGAATATGTACCCGGACCTGCCGCCACATCTACAGATCAATCTAGCGAGATATCAGCAGCGTCGGGAATTCGCGGCCAGAGTATGCCGTGCACTGGACTTTGCTCTCAACACGACAGTACAGCCCGACCTTCTCGTTGCTCCTCTCGCCACGGCTTTGGAGTTTTACCGGGAGCTCAACTCATCCTCGCGGGATGGAGAGCTGGAGATCATGTGGTGCGAAGGCTTCAAGCTGAGGCTGGCATCGAAGGGACAAGACATTGCCAATGTACTCCAAAGCAGGCAGTGGGCCGACCTGGCGAGATTTTGAACGGAGCGGGCTCCTTATTTTCGATGGTGCTAGGTTGACGCTGGCAACCAAAATTCCTACCCGGCTGTAGACAAAATGGTGGAGGTATTGGGATACACGGACTTGATTCGGCTGCGTGGTGTTGACGGATTGCTTTCAACATTATTTTATCGAGGATCCAGCGGTCGTGGTGGTTGCGCGATGGACTGGCCGCCATCGTGGGAAAGTGTTGTTTTGTAATATATCATAGGCTGCTTTTGACGCCAAAGTCATGACGCCAGAGTCATGACGACACGGCGAGAACACACCCGCTGCAGCTGAATACTTCCCAAAAATGTAAATTTGGTCGAATTATTGCAAAATTCTCGACATTGCCGCTTTCAAACTGGAGGAAATAGCGCATGGTTTGGCGTGAATTGAACCTCCCGTCGTCAGTGTAATTGTCATGGAGGATCTGTGTCAGTTCAGAAGCGGATAACCTAGCTGACCGCGTGTGAACACTGAGATTGGGGGGAATCTGATGTAGCTGTGCACGGACCAATCCAGACCTGATGCCCGAAGCTCCCCTCGCTGAGCGTGACCGTGGTGGGCGGGAAGGTCCATTACCCGGACTTTCCCCGGCGGTACAGGAGCTTGGAGCTACTCAGCCTTCCATGCCAGCGCCAGCAGGTACCGAAGCTTCGTCAGACCTGCAGCCTGCCTACCTTACCTCACCTAGTACTCCATCCATCCTCCACCGACCGCACCCCTTCCATCCACGGCGATTGTCCCGCAGTAACGAACATCTCGCCGAACTGAACAAAATCAAACAACTCCTTTTCCACCAGCCGTCATTCAGCAAAGATGGCTTCCGGCTACGATAGAGCATTGTCTGGTACGTCGCCCTGCCTGTCCGTTAATTGCAATGTGTTGAGCTAACCCGCCGCAAACAGTCTTCAGGTCCGTCAACATCTCTCCCTCGAACCTGCCCAAGCCCGCCAACTAACTTGCACAGTCCCGATGGACACGTCTTCCAGGTCGAATATGCCGGTGAGGCCGTCAAGCGAGGTAATAATGCGCGTCCGCCACATCCCAGGGCGAACTCCAGCTCACTGTTAGCATAGGAACGTGCGCGGTCGGCGTCAAGGGCACCGATGTTGTCGTTCTCGGATGCGAAAAGCGATCAGCCATGAAGCTGCAAGACACCCGAATCACCCCGTCCAAGATCCAGCTCCTCGACACCCACGTCTGCCTGGCCTTCGCTGGCTTGAACGCCGATGCCCGCATCCTTGTCGACAAGGCGCGGTTAGAGGCTCAGTCCCATAGACTCACCGTCGAAGACCCCGCCTCGATCGAGTACATGACCAAGTACGTCGCTGGCGTCCAGCAACGGTACACGCAGAGTGGTGGTGTCCGGCCATTTGGCATCAGCACCTTGATTGTCGGCTTCGACAGCGGCAGCAAGGTTCCCCGCCTTTACCAGACCGAGCCCTCTGGCATCTACTCGGCATGGTATGTTCTTGGTCTAGGAGCTTGCGTGAAATCACCTTGCTAACCCCCTTACAGGAAAGCCAACGCCATTGGCCGTTCAAGCAAGACGGTTCGCGAATTCCTCGAGCGCAACTACAAGGAGGACATGGACAGGGAGGCTACCATCCGCCTGGCCATCAAGTCCCTCCTCGAAGTTGTCCAGACTGGAGCCAAGAACATCGAGATTGCTCTGATGGCTCCGGGAAAGACGATCGAGATGCTCCCGGTAGAGGAGATTGAGAACTACGTCAAGAACATTGAGCAGGAGAAGCAAGAGGAGGCGGCCAAGAAGAAGACGGGCCGGACGCCAGGAACCGGAAGCGCGGCCATCCTGACGAGAGGCTCCGGTGATGGTGACGAGTAAAGGCATGAAAAGGCGTTGGGTTCGCGGATAGACGACACTGATGAGGGTATCAACCAAATACCATTGTATTACCACCTCTAGACATGCCGTGGGGAATCTACTAAAAACGGTGTCCATAAAATCGCCTGCTCACACAAATGCCAACTAACCTCCACCTCATCCCAGCTTGTCCGCATCGTCGGTAGGATCGAATATCGACTTTCCTTCGACTTGACGGACACGCTCGTCCTTGATCATACGACTGTCCTTGCGCGCGTCCTCGCCCTCGACAGAGATGGCGGCCTTGGGAGTGACAGCGTCGATGACGAAGTGGTTATCGCAATGTGGGCAGTATTCGTCGGATTCCTCAAACTCTTGCGCGTCCTTGCGGAAGCACTTCTTGCACTTCTTGCAGGCGAAGGTCATATCGAAGGTCTGCATGAGAGGGTGCCTCTCCTGCTCCTGGTGGCACTCGGCGCAGTCGAACCATTTCTTGCCTGTATGGTAAAAACCGGTTAGGTATGTCTTTCCAGGCACGGAGAGTTCTTCGGCGGCGTACAGCATGGCGAGCGGATGGCGACTTGCGCATTCAGGACGTGTTTGCTGTCACGAGCTATTAGCTGGCGGTCAGGGGGCGAAGGCTCGATGGAGCGTACCACATGGTGTATGTTCTTCTTCTGCGTTAACCGCGTTTCAACTCGAATGATTGTTTGTTCCGTAGTTCAAGGTTTTTCACTTGTCTTGTACAATCTGGCCAGCGGTTTCGGGGGATATGCAACTTTTGGTGGTGGTATGGAGGTGAAGAAGGTTCCACCAAACATTTGGGCTGCTGATAAATTTGGCGGGGTCCTGGCTTGTCGCCTCCAGTGCCTGATTCTTCCCGCTGCACACCCCGCCAAGTGGGTGGGGGATGAGATTGAACGACAGCATTAGTATTTTGCCAATGAATGCGTAATTCCAGGAATGCATGTAGCTATTGCCTGGGAAGTCTTCCAACGCAAAGAGAAACAGCACTAAATTCTCTAGCATTCTTTTCCCGATTGAAGTTCTTGCTTATATCTTGCACTTGTTCCTGCGGTGCTGTCGCCAACATATCGCCGCGTAATTCTCTGCCAGTACTTGACCATAGAGACAAGGCCATGGCATATCAAATGCACATTAAGGCATATCATAGTTTCGGAACAAAAGATTGATCGAAGGCACCTACTAACTAAGAGAAAGGTATACAGGCACCTAACCGACTGTCTGTCACTGAGTGCTTACCTAGGACCCTGGCAGGTGGGGCACGCCAAAGCTGGAGTGCAGGAGCCCATCCAATAACTTGCCTTGCCTGCCTGCCTTGTCTGCCTGGGCCTGCTCGGGTGTTGCTGCTTACCTACCTACCTGGTACTTTAACACAGGCCCCATTTGCAGGCTACATCATTTGCCTCTGCACATCCTCTCTTCACATCCTTTCTCTACATCGTTGCGACGCCCGATATCCCACAACATTCATCCGCCACGATGCCGCCGAAGAGGAAGGCTCAAGGAGCCGTCACCGGCAGCCTCAAGGCAGGAAAGGGCTCGGCGGTGTCCACGCCAGGGGGCGCTACCCCCAACAGGAGCGTCGCTAGTGATAATGAATCCTCCGTGGTAGATCCCATTAGCGAATCCGAAGATGAGAACCTCGAGAAGAACGTCGACAAGTTCTCCGTCGACGCCTACCTCGATAGACCAAAAGCAAATGGACAGGAGTCCATGTCGGCGCTGTTCAAGAAGAAGCGTGACTTCTCGTGGCTCCAGATGAAGCCCGACTCAACGAACCGCCCACTCTACATCGACCCAGCAAAGGGGCGCATCTTCTTGGAGAGCTTCAACCCGCTTGCCGAGCAGGCGCAAGATTTCTTGATCACCATCGCCGAACCGATTTCGCGACCGTCCTTCATACACGAATATGCCCTCACGACACACAGTTTGTACGCTGCTGTGTCGGTTGGCTTGTCTCCTGGCGACATCATCAACACCCTGGACCGCTTCTTGAAGATGCCTTTACCGGAAAGCATTCGCAAGTTCATCGAAGGCTGCACGCAAAGTTTCGGCAAAGTCAAATTGGTGCTGAAGAACACAAAATACTTTGTCGAGAGTACCGATCCGGTGATCCTGCAGAAGCTTCTGAAGGATCCAGTCATTGGACCTCTGCGAGTCCACGGAAACGAAGAGATCACAACAACGGCTGCTCCTAAGCAGGGCCCCCTGGTCATTCCAGGCACCGCCAACGCCGCAGGTGTACGGCAGGCCGAGGAGCAGAAGGCCAAGGGTCGTGAGGGCGAAGCGCAAGCTCAGGATAGTGAAGTTTATGCAGCGCTGAACGACGACGACGACGATGACCAGGAAATTACCCATGCCTTCGAAATCTCGGACGATGCGGTGGAGACGGTACAGAAGCGATGTCTTGAACTGGAATATCCGGTGCTGGAGGAATACGACTTCCGCAGAGATGAAGCCAACCCGAATTTGGAGATTGACTTGAGACCTGGTACGCTGATTCGACCGTACCAAGAAAAGAGTCTGTCTAAGATGTTTGGAAACGGCCGAGCAAAGAGTGGTTTGATCGTCCTTCCTTGCGGTGCTGGAAAAACGCTTGTCGGAATTACGGCAGCTTGCACTGTGAAGAAGGGTGTCATTGTCCTCTGCACTAGCTCCATGTCGGTTGTGCAATGGCGAAACGAGTTCCTCAAGTGGTCAAATATCAAGCCGGAGGATATCCAAGCCTTTACCTCCGACAACAAGGGCGCGATTTTCCCGGGTAACACGGGTATCATCGTTACTACGTACTCCATGGTGACGCAAACTAGAGAGAGGTCTCACGAGGCGAAGAAGATGATGGATTTCCTTCAGACCCGAGAATGGGGTCTTATGCTTCTCGACGAGGTTCACGTTGTGCCTGCTAATATCTTCCGCAAGGTCACGTCGTCTATCAAGACGCATTCCAAACTAGGACTTACTGCCACCCTTCTTCGTGAGGATGACAAGATTTCGGATTTGAACTTCCTCATCGGACCCAAGCTGTACGAGGCCAACTGGATGGAGCTGTCCGAACAGGGACACATTGCCAAAGTTCAGTGCGCTGAAGTATGGTGCCCAATGACCGCGGAATTCTACGACGAGTACCTCAAGGCCTCGGCGCGCA